CATCTAAAAATTACGCTGGCTATCCTCACAAGAACCATACCGGCAAGGATTCTACCAAGAAAAAGACGATCTCCTCCCGATCGCCACGCCAAGATGGCAATTCTCCAAGTCTTCTAGGATTTCGAGGTCAAATGTACCATATTCATTGACATCACTCTGTTAGGGTGAAGCATTGAGACAAGCTTGCTCATTTCACTGGCCACAAGCTAAAGAGCAACCCTGATTTCCTGCAGCCACATTGCAAACCACAACCATTCTTGCAGTTGTAGAATATTGTGTTCAGCAAATTTTTTTCAGCAAAATTATTATATTCAATATCGTCCTATTGCTGCCAAAAGTCACTAACTAACATTTTTCCGAAAAACCAAATTCAATCACTAACTATGTTTTGAAGCGGAGAATCGATTGCAAAAGTCATTAACTACGATTTCTGGTTATTTATGTTTTATTTTAATACCGAATAGTTACTAACTATAACATCTTTATGCAATGCAATTCATTTTTAGACGCATTTTTCTCGGAAGTAATAAAAAGTGAGTTAGTGACTTTTGGCAGCAATGGGACGATATGATCTTTTATGAAAAAATGTAAATTATTTATAATTATATATTTTTCAATAATTAACGGACTTTATACGGCGTGTTTTTGACCGAGACTACAGGTTGAACTTAATTATACCGTACATAACGAAAGACAGATGGCGGTGAGCGCGCAGTCTCAAAAACGGTTTGAGGTACAAAAAAATTTTTCCTCGATCCATCGTCGTCGCCTTGTATTATGTCTCGGATCTGAGGACTGCTGGTTAAAAATAAAAAGAGACGAATCATGACGGGATTTTTGTATAACCCCGTCAATAGTTAATTTAAAAATATATTAGAAACTTTTTTAGTGAAATAAATGAATTGGTATTGGCGTCATCTGCATATTTTTTGTCATCGTCTGTCGAAAATCTTACCCGAGTCGTAAAACAAAGTATATTGTCAGATGTCAAGCAAACCAGGCATAATTTTAGGACATATAGATACATAGATATTAGATACAATTAGAATATGGAATGAACTTCTATGTCATTTTCATAGAATTTTACGTTTGTTCCATCGAGGGTCAACTACAACATTAATAGAAACTGTATCTAACTTCATAACATATATGTGTTTAAAGTAGGATCATATACACGCGAATTGTGCGAATAATGTTATTATTGGTCTAATTCAAAAATTATAATGTTATGTCTCGTTATTATCATATAAACATTCGTTAAGATGGAATAAACAGAAAAGTTATGAAAAAATTGTACATTATCATTATTAGATATTTAATTTTCTTACAATTTAATTTCCTTTTTTTATTTGTAAGTTCAATGTTTTGACCGCAAACTGGTAATGTTGTTGAAACTTCATTCATAACACAAAAATATACTTATAAAATAAAAATTAACCTATAAATAAAATTCTTTAAAAATACATTTTCAACATATATGTTTAAATACACAAATATCCCTAAGATTAATTGCGAATTTTGCTATTATATGAACTACGTAAATAAAAGACGGCTTTATTTTATATTATTATCATCCCTATATTGTTTTTGTAAATTATATTATTAAGTGAGTATTTTTTTGTTTAATTTATGCTTGATGATATCTAAAGCTTGAAACGCAGTAAATACGTATTGAAAATCTAAATTATATCACACAAAACTTTTTACTCCCGATTCTCGATGTGTTAAACATAGTAGTTTGCTAAAAGTTTGAGAGGTTTAAACTTAATTACAAACAGGTAGGTAGTGATGGAATTATTTAGTTTGTGTATTCTGGTTTAAACTTTAACTCGATATTTCCTTGCGAGTTGGTAATTATTACCGATCTAATTATTTAATGTTTTAAACAAAATTCTTATTTATCTTTTAAAAAAGCTTGAAATAAAAATTATGCATATTTAAATATGAAATAATGAGGATTTGACATACAATATATACACATATGCAAAAAAAACGCAACGGAGAAATTTTTGGTCAAATTTAAAGTGTTATATTTTTGTTGTTTTTATCCCTATTTTCATGAATTTACTTAACTTTAATTCGTAAACTAAGCTTTTTATAAATTTTAGTATTTTGCATATTAAACAGGGTTAATCGAAATGTTGTTTTTTTTCCTTAACTTTGAAACACCCTGTGTAACCATGGCTCCTGAGCAGTTTGTTTTTTGATTCGTGTCAATACATGCTTTAGTTAATTTTTAAGAGCGAAATGAACTGATAACGATCAAATTGCAATTTTTTTAACAAAAATTAATATAGGGCCAAAAATAACAAAAATTTAACACTTTAAATTTGACGAAAAATTTCTCCGTTGCGTTTTTTTTGCATCTGAGTATATAAAACAAAGGTAATAACAGCTAGTAGTTTAGTAGTTAGGGAGAGAACGACTCCACAGCTAGCAGTAAATTAGGAATAAAATAATAGATCAATATAAAAATAAAAATATCCCTGTGTGCAATAATTTTGAGCACATTTGTATTTATATTGACATGTATTATAGAAATTCTAAAATGTCTTCTCAAAGCCGTACAACGTACGAACATCTTTTACTATACTTAGTTTACAAATTTTACTACTCTTCACCGAGCAGTATGCGATTTTGTAGAAAAATCTACTTATCTGTTATATTAGATCAGCTGCAAGCTGCAAGCTGCAAGCTAGGAATACGATGCTTCGCAAGTATTCTTATTCTGTTTTGTAAAAAACCCTTGAAAAATAAATATATTTTTTAGTCAGGGATAATGTATATAGAATAACATTTTGTAAAATAAGTAGTAATCACAAATATATTATGTAGAACTTTAATATAAGAATATGATTCAAATAATAATAGTAAAATATTCAAATTAGGAAACGCATTTAGGAAATAAAATTTGTTCTCGGTTTTAATGCATAAATGATGTTTGGGTAATCAGATATGATAATAAACGTGTAATATTATGAGTATAATAGCTTATAGCTAATATTTATTTCAGGATCGTATTTTAAAATTAAACTCAAAATATTTCAAAACATTATATTAAATATTTATTAGATACTGTGAAGGGAAATTCGATACAATAAGCCGCTAATCTGTAATTTGTAGTCGGCCGACTATTTAGTTGCAAAAGTGAAAAAAATACTTACTTATGAAGTCGATCGGCCGACTATTTGATTGCATGTGAGCGCGGCTTCATCAGGATATATCGGTTAGAAATATGTAACTAAATAGTAGGCCGATTAAAAATTGCCTGTCAGCGCATAGCCTAAGGCTACGCAATGTAATCAAATTGTAACGTTTTTAGTTCGTTACATGTCTTTTTTATATATAATATATGATGTCTGGCCTATCATCACCGGATTCCGTATCGTTCAGGCCTGATAATTTATTTGGCACGCTTGGCGTAATTTTTACGTTCCCTAGTCGCCAACCCTGCTATCGTTTCACTCTTCTGTGAAGGCGCGCCTGTCAAGATCCTTGTTATATGTCAAGGCGCCTCTCTGCGTTTTAACCTCACTTGGTTGTTGGCCAGTTTGCGGCACGGTTGCAAATCCTGCTTTTAGAAATGGCAATTTAAATCTTGCTGCAAAATCTGAATCAGCTGCCATTTCGAAGCTACAGGTAAAGATGAGTTATTATCTTTTATAGATTCGATATTATTATTGAATATTTTTCAGGTAGAGTTTTGGATTGGCCTAACCTTTATTTGTATTTTGCTGACACATTGGTGTACTTTTGCTGTTGTCCTCCAGAATGTTAATTGGAAGAAAGGACAGTTCTTTTGTTTATTATTGAGCCCTCGGAAGTGTTTCGAGGTAGGTTTGTTGTGTTTATTATACCTGGGCAGGTTTTAAACACGAGTTTCATGTTTTTAGGGTCTTATGGACGGACTGTGTCCAAGGTACGGGTAGTGTTCCCCTGTACCATTATCTTATGGACGGACTGTGTCCAAGGTATGGGCAGGTGTCCCATATCTATGTATTGATTCCAAGGTTCGGGCATTATCCAAGGTCCTAGTAGTGTTCCAAGGTACGGGTAGTGTCCCCATATTGCCACAGTATAGATACAGCGTAAGCCCCATGCTGTTTCGCTCCCATATCTAAGCCTAGTCAGTAGCTATGGCTGTATTGATTCGTGGTGTCCTCATTCTGGCCTATTTTGTTGTTTTGGCCAACAGGATCGCCGACAGACAGTACAGAGATGCGAGCCCACCTCACGCTGTTACTGTTTGAAGCAAGATTACATAAAGAACAGCTAAGTGTAGATTTAAGTTCTAGTTTTACATTTAACATCTAAAACATTTTCAGTCTTAAACAATAATGTACATCTTAAGTAATATCGTACAGACTATGTTTAGTGGTTAGATTGTTAAGAACATTCATGTCGATTTAATATTTAAAATATGATTTAGATCTTAGGTTTCATTACATTACGTCTTGTAATGGTATTACTTTCATAGATATTTAGTACAACTCTTAACACCATTTTTTTTACATATAACCACTATATATTTATTAGAACTCTACAAAGAACATCAGGAATAAATATAGTCATTAGTTTTAAGTAATATACAACTGTGTTTTCTTTCTCTGTACATGCCTGGCGCCCAATATCTATATTTTTTTGTTTATTGTTATTGATTAGGTTTCTCTCTAGTGAAATACCTTACCCACGACTGCCCTCCGATGAAAAGCTGCTGTTCGCAGTGGTAATGTTTATAAAAAACGCTACAAAATATTAGGCAGACCGGCTCCATAAGAATGTATTGTTTTCACTTTTGCAACTAAATAATCGGCCGACTAAAAATTACATGTCAGTACGTACCCTAATTTCCTAAAAAAACTCACAAGAGAAAGGCAGAGAAATGCATGCTTCATTTAGAAATATGTAATAATTACTTTTATTCAAATATGCGATAATTGTTTTGAGTAGTGTAGTATTTAGTTATTTGGACATAGTAGATAAAAAAACATAATTAAGCATTTTTGTGTGTAAAATTTTATTAAATATAAATTAAAATATGTATCTTAATACAATGTCTTCTTATATATATTACCTACTATTTAAAAAAATTGTAATTATTCCAACGAAAATAAGAAGTATCTGAGTATACAAGATTGTTCCTTTGCTATTGCATGGGGGGTATATTCCATAGCCCGACTCGCAGATGCATATTTGTACGTCATAACCTCCAGTTTTTTGTTTGTAACAGCCACTAGATATTTTACCTTCATTTGAACTAACTCTCGCACACATGTGACTACGGTTGGCAACTGAAATAACAAATACATTTTTCAGAAAATTTCAACGTTGGATGGAACATTTACTGGTTGGAAAACAGTTTTATATCTGGGAATTTACTTGACAAATTAGTTTAAAGCTTCATTTGGAATCTCGACATTAGGGGAATAAATTAGTGGTTTCAATTAACGTAAGGCCGGATTCTCACCAAATCGGACCGACCATAATCGTCCTGATCCAGATCGATTCGATTGTGGTCGTTCCAACCGAAATCGATTGAATGTGTTCATCGGATTGCATTTTTTGCAAAGTTTCAGGTGAAATAGCTCTACACTCCTGTACAATTCTTTGTTGTTATTGTTCAATGGAGTCTGGTTGAGTTTTAATTACAACGGATTTCAAGTAGCCCCATTAAAAAAAATCCAGCGGTGTCAGATCTGGTGACCTAGGTGGCTATTCTATGGGTCCCCTCCTACCAATCCAATGCTCTGGGTAATGATTATCAAACCTCTCTTACTGGGCGTACATAATGCGGAGGCGCTCCGTCCTGTTGGAAGTGCAGCGAATGCTCATCTAGAAAAATATTTCCATTGGTGTCCCCTTGATTTTCCACCTCACGAATTATAAGAGGTTCTATAGCTGTATCTAACATTTCTGCATAAATTTCACCATATAGATTTTCATTAATGAAGAGAGGACCGATGATACTATTGCCTAATATACCCGCCCAGACATTTATTTTTTGAGGGTATTGTGTATGTCCCTCTCTAATAATGTGACGATGTCGCTACAATAACGACAGTTTTGTTTGTTGACCTTGTCATTTTAGTAAAAAGTGAATTCATTACTGAAACATATAGTCATTATTAACCTGGACTGAGTAACAATCTTGTCCGTCATAATTTCGCAAAACTCAATACGTCTGTCCGGGTCATCGTCCCCTAATTCTTGAGTAATTAAGAGTTTGTATGGATGAAATTTGTGAAGCTTTAATACTTTCCTGACTGACTCACGCGATAGTCCAGTTTAATATGCAACTTTACGAAGGGACGTAGTGGGAGCCATAGCAACTTCACCAAGAACCTCAATCTGAGCGGCTTCATTGAGCAGTCTTGGTTCATTCCTTTTCTAACCAACATTTCTTTCACGATGTCTTTTTGATTGTCGATGATTTTTAGCTCCGTAAATGAAAATCATTTCTACGCGTTCAGCAATAGTGTAAACCATTTTAAGAAACAAGACTAATAATTGAAAACTATTGATATTGTTTATGAAATTAACTTTCACAGCTTATTTTACTGATTCTGGAAGAACATGAAATAAATAATGAACACCAGGAGTCGGAAAATAAACAACAAGTACCTACTTATCATTTGTTCGAAATATCAGGAATAAGCAAAACGGGAATCTTGTTTTGTTGAAAACGGCAAAAAAATTAAATTACTTTATGTTTTGTAGTGGCGATATCGAAGACGAAATGTAAATAAATAAAGGAATTTGGAATGTATAGTATTGGTAGGTACAAACATTTTTAAATGAAGTTCTATGAGGCGGTAAATGCATAAGGAACACAAAAATGGTAAAAGAACTAGGGGTTACCATTTAAAATTTTAGGGGTAGGTGCCCTGGGGGTCAAAGGGTTGAAAGTAACACGACAACAAGACCTTTTTTAAAAAAGCTTTTTGTTTTATAATCTAATTATTAGGTTTTCTTATGGATAGAACTGACTATCAAACTGTTAATAGAATATTTTCTTAATTTTAATTGTATTTTTGGACGCTGAGAATGATAGTACACTCTTAACTATAAAGTATAGTTAAAACCACTAATTTATACCATTAATTTCGGGGTTTTGTATAAGGTTTAACAGTTTATTTGCCAATGTAAATTTACAATTTGGAGTAATTTAGAGTGAAGCGTTTGCAGCTATTATTCTCAAATATATTGTACCAAGATGCGTTATCAATTTTGTCAAATGAATTCTTGCAAGGTATATTTTCTCTTTGTCGTTTTTATATCTCAATTATTCAACTTTATTAATTGTATAATTTTTACTAGAATTTTTTTTCAAAAAACTCATAGACGTATTTATGAGATCCAAAATAATATATCACTCTTAAAAATATATATATGAGCACGTACTGATTGAAGTCTCACCATGTATATGTCACTGTAAATGTCCGAAATGCGGTAAAACCTAGGATAAGCGCGTTAAACCTAGGATTTACCAAAAGCAATTGGTAAAAGCTCGAAAACTTCTTTATTTTGCTTCAATTTGGGACTTTTACCGGACCCAAACAGTAAATCTTAGAATTTACCACACCGCATTGGTAAAAGTACGAATTATTTTTCTTATGGCAACAATATCGACAAATTAAGGATGTCGATATATAAAGACATCTCTGTTTTTGTTTACTTAGGTATTGAAATTTTAACGATTATCGTTTCACGATATCGATTTTTGTAACGTATCAGTCTTATATTTGTTACTGTAAATGTCCGAAATGCGGTAAAACCTAGGATAAGCGCGCTAACCCTAGGATTTACCAAAAGCATTAACTAATTAAGTTAGCCTGGTTATTTGGAGGGTGTTAATGCATTAGTTAGCCTGGTTATTTGGGGAGTGTTAATGCATTGGTTAGGTGCCTATTTGGAGGGTGTTAATGCATTGGTTAGCCTGGTTATTTGGAGGGTGTTAGTGCATTGGTTAGCCTGGTTACTTGGGGGGTGTTAATACATTAGTTAGGTGGTTATTTGGTGGGGTTGTTTGGTTTTTACTACCACTTGCTTATCCGTACTTTTAGCAATGCGGTGTGGTAAATCCTAAGATTTACTGTTTGAGTCCGGTAAAAGTCCGAAATGGAAGCAAAATAAATAGTTTTCGGGCTTTTACCACATGCTTTTGGTAAATCCTAGATTTAGCGCGCTTATTCTAGGTTTTACCACATTTCGGACATTTACAGTAACATACATATATAAACTTTTATTACTGGTATATATTTCAAAACTACTAAAAAGACATTTAATAAATGTTTCTTTTGCTTTTTTGTTTTGTTCCTCTGGCCAATAGTTAGTTTTTATCGAAGAAATTCTAAATAAATATAATACCTAAATCGAGACAATCTCTGTATACAACAACGCAAGAGATATTAATCAGCGTAGTGCTGACGTCATTATCATGAGAAAGCCTCGCTTCAACTACAAATCGCTTCGATGCTTTTTCATGCACCTGTAATTTCAATATTTCTATACCCACGTACTAAATACGTATCTCGGTTAGCTTAGCAACTGTATTATAAGGTTTATTTTAGATGACATTTATTTAATTTTTATGGTAGCGATTAGAGATAGTATCAAGGTATATATTACAATTAGCCAGATCACTTGCCACACGCGACGGAAATACCCCCCCACCCCTCATTCCTGCAGACACTGAACCACACGTGTGTCGACCTCCGGCAAGACAGGGAATCCATACATAATATACGAGGTGGTCCGAATTGTACTCGCGAACCTTTATCAGTATATTTTACAGAAAAAAAACAAATAAAAAGTTTCGTACACATTTTTATGACCTAAAATGCTTCGTTTTGGAAATACAGGGTTTCGATTTTTACCAAATAATGTTGATTGATTTTTCTAGAAACAAATATGATAAAACAATTTCTGTTGAACATTTGGCACAAACACATTTAGACACTATCTAGTCAACATGTTTAAATTTTATGAGTGGTGACATATGTATGCATTATTTCGATGACCAATATCTCGAGAACAATTACTCGGAGATATTTTCAAGAGACCTTTTTTACGAAAAAAAAACGCAGAAATATTTTTTCATATAGTAGTCTAATACAGATGCGGACGAAATGTTATTACTTTTCAAAACTGATAAAAAATACGTAGGTGGCGCCCTCTACAAGAAAGAGTCATACTGGCATAGAAATCTAATTCTTCATGTCGAACAAACACCCAGACACAAATTTTCGTCAAAAAAAATTCACAGTCCTTTACAAAGATGCAACCGGGGGGGCATTGAAAATGATGAATAAAAACGTAAAAATATGATTAGTGTTAATATGAGTGTATTACATACATATGTTTAAATAACGAACTTAACAAAAAACAACAGATTTAAAGATTCACTGAAAAAGTAGTAATGTTAAAATAAATAAAAATAGTTTGGGTACCTACGTCGACTCAGCCTTAAATGACTACTTGGGATTCACAATCCTGATGTAATATTAGGCGATTGAAGCGTAGTGCTAGCCACATTACCTTCCTTGTATACCGAACGGCTCTAGCCTGACAAGCTGTACCTTACTACTCCCAAGGCGTTAAATGCTATATACGGGAGCTATTATTATTATTATATATCTCCAAAACGAAGCATTTTAGGGCATTTAATAGGATTTTTTTTATCTATACTAAATTTTATTATTATAAGTATTTTGCCGAATTTTCTGAATAACAATTCGGATCAGCTTAAATATGGACGTATAAACATATACAGTTCATACCAAATAAACTTTTAGTCACGTGATTAAGCTTCACCGGCGTTGCGTACATTTATATACTTTATTTTAATCAAAATATTTTAGGAAACAAAAAAAATTAGGTAATGATAAATATATAAACAGTTATTATTTACATCAACAAAACTTACATTATTAAAAGCACTTAAGGGACATATGTATAGGGCCAGTACTACCGCTTTCCCGTTCAAAATATTCTAATAAAGTTACGATGAGTTTTTAATGGCTATTAAGTTATATCTTGTAAACTTCGCACAACTAAAAGAGGTTCTTAAAAGAACAATCTTCGACTGCAAGATCTGCTATTAAACATTTTGAAGCTTAAAGTATCACAACATTTATTTACACCAAAAACTCGTAATACAAAACTAAAGTGTCAAAACAAATGACAATGTCAGTAAATAAGTAAATTAAACGCGGCAACTTGAAATTTTTTACAGTGAGCTACCACCTGAATCCCCAGCCTGAAATTTAAATTCCAAATAGTTAGCCCGCCGCTGAATATGTCCATGGTAGGCAACATTGAATTTAAAAATCGCGCCCTCGATTACGTAACTAAAAGTTTAATTGATATCAATTATACAGGGTGTTTCAAAAACATGTGCCATCTCTCGTGTGGAGATTCCTCACTTAAAATTACGATTTATTTTTCATACCAACATACGTCCGATTCTGCTTTGTTTCGTAGCTACAGGGTGTTAAAGTCTTATGTCTTATTTTTTGATTTATTATAATATTCTTCCAAGTACTTTTAGCGTTTTAAATGAAATTTTGAAGGATAAAAGTTACTATTAATGCGGCATATTTTAAAGCTAAATAAGTGTTGAGCTTTGCTTTTTTAGAAACATATTCCACTGATAACCCATATGCACGTCCATGGTGAATGTGAATATGTCGACACTTTATTAGCTTTAAAATATGGAGCATTTTAGTAACTTTTACATTCAGAATATCATTCAAAACACTAAAAGTACTTGGAAGAAAATTATAATAAATCGCAAAAATATTAACAACAACTTTAACACCCTGTGCGTACGAAACAAAGCGGAATCGGACCTATGTTGATATGAAAAATTAATCTTATTCTTACGTGAGGAATCTCCCCACGAAAGATGGCACATATTTTTTGAAACACCCTTAAACATAATTTAGGGTATTATTATAATGACATGTATTTCCATCCATATTTCTTACTTATTCCATTGTCGATATAAGTATACGTCACACAGGCTTGATTGGACGATCGCATGCAAAGTACACTTGCTCTGTGGTTTGTCCATAAATAGTCCATATCTGGTAATGTAGAGTCGTCTAAAAATAAGTTAAATCAATTTACTATTCACACAGAATTAGAAAAAAATTAATATAGTGCTTGTCTTATTAACACTTAAAGTATTTAGTTCAAAATAAACTTTGATTTGAATGATAATGTTATGGAAAAAGTTTATATAAATGTGCGTTGTTTATAAAGTTGTAGGTATATTCTAAAAATGTTTTATAATATACCGGGTGCGTCTCAAAAGTGGCTCACCCCTATAACATTTTATTTTTCAGATAAAAAATCGAGTATTTTTATTTATGTCATATACGAACATACCAAACCGTGTTGTTTTATCTGAAGAAATAAAAAAGTTATAGGGGTGACCCACTTTTCAGATGCACCCGGTATATCATGTAAACTCACATTTTCTTATTTTCTGTCGCATGGACATCCATTGCAATATTTAAAATAATATATCTTGTTTTTTACTGAAACAACCTGTATATATTTTGCATTTAGACGCAGAATCAAAAAACGATCAATTTTTATATTTAAAGTGCTCCTAAGTTTTTAACGGTTTTGCTGACTCAACATCAGCAAAACCTCTACAGATGCATGAACAATATATTTATTTTTATTATACTTTAAATATTAAAAAAAGCCTCTTTTATTTTTCTTTTAGAGGTTCTTCTATCGTTTCTTTCATTATAATTTTATAAATATCAACGTAAGTTCTGAAACAAAACATTAAAATAAAAATTTCCTTTAGATCTAACAAACAAGGCCAAAGCGCATTTTATATAAAGTAGAGCTCTAAGTACTGGTTCCCATTGGAACGGACCGCTCCGGACCGGAGGTTCGTTCCAGCGAGCACGTTTTAGACGGAGAGCTGGCTACATAAAAAACTTTATCTTCGTTACATGGCTAATTTTTCTTGTGAAGTATCTTTTGTGTAGCCATTATGAAATAGTCAGGTCTGCCAGTGCAATCCCAGAGCTTAAAGGGGAACGGCCAAAAAAGGTGAAATTTCGACACTAAAAATATGATCAGGTATACAAGTTATAATTGCCAAATAGCTTTTATTTATTACAAAGAAACGTGAAAAATTATTGGCAGAAATTTTTTTCGTAGCTAAAATGCCGACAGACAACGTGAAAGAGGCATGAAATTTTGACAAAAAAAAAATAATCGCATACATGCATACCGATTGGTGGAATGTAATGTTTATTTATTTAAAAAGCCGTATGCAAAAGAGCAGACAAAAAAATCGTGGCTCAATCGGCGCACAGTGGGTTATTTGACACAGATAGTTGATCGAAATTTGTTTATGTAGACCTTATATAAAATATTGCTATTTTCAATTAAAGAGGAAATAATATGAACAAAATAAAGGGTAATTCGTCGATTCTAAAAAATAAAGAAAAATCACTGTTACAGTGTTTCCACGGTCAACGCCAATAATGCCAGTAGTAATATCACAACTAATACTACTAATGCTACGACTGATCTGCGAGCAATGCCCATACCACTAAAATCGCTACTAATGCCAAATTGTGCTATACTGCTAATGGCACTAATGCGATCGCTTTGTACACAACAATGCCATCGCGGTTTACACCTCGCATTAGTATATCACTGATTGGCAAATTAGAGGAAACCAAGAATGTTTTTTTCATTTTATCAGCAAAGTCGCAAAAAGTCGCAGTATTTTATTTTACTGTATGAAAGCCCAATGTTTACTAAGTAAAACGTATATAGACAATATGCTGAATTCTTCGAAATGCGCAAATTTTCTGAACGCCTAACTTTTAGTTGCAAAAAAAATCGTTAGTATGGAGAATATCAAAATAAATAATACGTTTTTGTAGAATACATACCTGCAGCTTGCTGAGCCATTTTCAATCAAAACAATAATATAAACGTAAAAAGAGCACAAGAACAACAACAATTTATAATTTTAAACATAAAATTTAGCCATTTACCTCTTATCTGTGAGAAGTAACAACTTTGACGTTCCGTTAAAACAAATGAATGCAACTAAATACACCCATAGCAACGCCATTCATGGCAGACATGATTTAACTTATCATTTATCTTTTTTTGGGAAATCTTAAACACATTTGCTTTTTCGAATTTCGATCACCTTTTTCATGCTAATACCCCACCGTGCGCCGGTAGACAATTATCAAAAGCGCGGTATTACTCTACAGGGTGAGTTGAAACTGGAGGTGAGTAAATAATTTTGTGAGCCACCTGTTTTTTGTGTATTTGCATCCATTCTTTTAGTGTCATAACCATAGAGTAAAGCCGTAAACATGGTACGTTAAGAAATAATTATACCGTGGGTAAATTTGCGGTGAACAGGCAGTTCTGAAAAGTTTTTTAAAATATACAGGAAAATTAAAAAAAAATGCACGATTTTCAACATATTTTTCTGCGAAAAAAACCTCATAGACGTGTTCCTACCTAAGGTCCAAAATATATCACCCCTACAAGTATTTGCACTTATTTAAGAGTCATTCTGTACCTATAAGCGTTTTCAGGAATTTAATCAATTGAAACATAATACATGTCTACAAAAAAATTTTACGGTAGAGATATCGACTCAGAGGAAGACTCGTTTGCGAGAGCCAGGATCTGCAGTACGATGAGTCAGATACAATTAGTGAGACAGAATAATAAATGTATGATATCTGTTATTGAAATAATAAAAAAATATATATATATATATATATAATATTATCATATACATGATGACTTATCTATACTTAAATGAATGAGGTGGCGAGCGTTTCTTGAGCACTTTTGATAACTGTCTGCCGCTGATTTAGCCATGATCTTTTTATCTGTCCTTTTGTATACGGCTTTAAAATAAATAAATATGACATTCTACCAATCGGCATGTATGCCATAATTTTTTTTTACAAAATTTCCTGCCTCTTTCGCGTTGTCTGCCGGCATTATAGCGACGAGAAAAATGTCTGCCAACAATTTTCCACGGTTCTTAATAATAAATAAAAGCTATTTTCGCAATTAAAACTCGTGCCTCCACCTTATAATATTTTAAGTTCCAAAATTTCACCATTTCGATTGGCCGCCCCCACTTTAAGCCCCGGGATCGCGCTGGCAGACATGACTATTTCATAATCGCTACACAAAAGGATACTTCACAAAAAAATTAGCCATGTAACGATGAAAATGTTTTTTTTATGTGGCCAGCTCTTAGACTATTTCGCTTCATGTGAAACTGCACTAAGGCTTTTATAATTTCTTCGTCTTTTTTTTTAAATTTCGCACTAGGTTTTTCTCTTCAATAAACATCATCCAATTAAGGAGTTTTGCATATTCCTTCTTTGTTTTTGTCTTGGCCTTATTGAATTTCCTAATTATGAATTTTAAATTAAAGTAGTTTCTGCAGCGGAATTTTCAACGGTCATTAAATTTTCCTTACTGTAAAAGACATCTAGAAATAAAAAAAAATATATTTTTGCAAGGTCGAGCAATATCAATACTGCTAGGGGAACTGGGAGATGATACTTTATTTATGTTTTTTTAGTTTAAATGAAAATTGATATGCAATTTCTAAAGTTCGTGGAGATAATTTGGTTTTTGCAATTTTATATAACGTCAAAAATAATTGGATATTGATAGCTTGTTTTTAAAAGAAAATATTAATAAAAATCTAGATAGAGTATATTTAATAGTAAAAAAACTGTTTATTCAACGAGATATAAAATAATTTAGGAAGTAATTATTATAGGGTAATAAGGACCGGGTTCATTACTGTGTTTTGTTAATATTGTTATTACTCTTATTTCTTTGTAAGGAGGTGAAACATCCTTCAAAGATACCAGACAAGGTCGCCGGCTATGTCACATTTTTACTCACTAAAATCCACCTCACAGCATCAGCTACCAGGGCTGTTAGCTCTTAGTAGTGACTAAAATTACATTCTCAATAGTGCATTGAGAATCTGTATCTTCTAGAATAAAAAACTTGAGAATTTTGTTTAAGTACAAACATGAAGTATGTATGAAAATGTATTTCAGGAAAATATTTTAACTTCTATGAGCTAATAGGGTGGCTCTTCTCTAGGGTGGCTCAAAAAAGTGTGAGTGGATCAGGATGATTTTTATTAAATAGAACACCTTGAATATTATTGCATCTTTGGCTTTCTTTCAGATTACTTTACATAATCCTATGGTTTGATTCACCCTAAAGCTTCATTGAGAACTAAATCGAGAATTAAATTTTTTTGCACCAACCACTCAAAAACTCAATTTTTGCACATATGCTAGAAGTGGGAATTCTACTTCATTGTAAGGAACTAGTTCCTTAGTTCTAGTTCCTCCAGAGAAATAGTTTCTTGAACTAGGTATTTAGTTCACAATAGTTCCCGACTAATATTGACATCCCCGTTGCTTACCAATTGGTTTCCTTGTCAGTCAGAACTATTTACAGTATGATCTGTATAATTTTTATAATCTTCGAAATATAACGAGACGTGTAATTGTGTATGTTAAAAACATATAGGTAAGTTTTATTGCCGATAAAAAAAATAAAAAAGAAACTCAAATCAGAGTTTAAAAACTATGTCACCAATTGGATCAAATATTACGAAAAACTGCATTTTTCCTCTTTTTTGTCTAAAAACTCAGAATATCTATTCCGCGTTTTATAAGATATATCTTAATTTTAGGGACCTAAAGTGAAACATTCCCATAAAATATTTAAAGAACAAACTAAAAATCAAAAACAGTATCCACGACAATTTTCTGTGGTAATTACCCCGGCTGACGCAATAGATAAGGCCGAATCCATCGTCGTCGCCTTGTTGTATATCTCGGATCTGCCGACTGAATAGATTCCTGTGAATTTAATTAGTTCCTCTAGATCCGGATCCGATAACATACGGCTGGCACTCCCAACGGCTGCCTAGCATCAATCGCGCTGGCCGATCCGTACGTAAACTAGTCTTTTATATAGTTCCTCTAGTTCCTTTAGGTCCTGATCCGATAACATATGGCTGGCACTCCCCATTCCTGCCTAGCATCGATCGCTCTGGTCGATCCGTACGTAGACTAGTTTTTTACATAGTTCCTCCGGGTCCGGATCCGATAACATACGGCTGGCATTCCTCACTCCTGCCTAGCATCGAGCTATGCGCGCTGGCCGATCCGTCGACGTCGCATTTAATTATGTATCGGTCACAGTCTCGATCCCTGAGGAACTAGTTCTTTGAGAAACTAGGAACTAGTTCCTTTCATTCTGGGGTCGGAATAGTTCATTGGAACTAGTTCGTTCACGACCTATACACCTCTAACATATGCCGGTTTGATTTAAGAACGACGAGTTGTTGTGCAGTTCAAACATTTGGCTTGAGTAAAATCTGTCTTTCATTTTTAACTGAGGTTAGCGCATATATCTGAGTGTTGTCACGGTTTTGGATAATTTTGACATTTGTTATTATTTTAACAGTATGCTTGTGTCGTCTTTAGATTATTTAAATAAAAACCGTAAAACAGATACCACCAACTAACAGAATATGTAAATGAAATATAGATTTGCATGAATTCTATGCCTCCAACCAATTTATGCAAATTATCTGGCAGTGTAAAACCCCTTTAAGCAGTGTGGACTTACTTGTTATTACAATTGGAGATATACATGGAATGTGCTCTCCGGCCCTTGTGTCGTCTATATAATCGTCACATGTACCATCGTATGTTGTTACATTATTGTAATTAGGCCCAAACCATGTAAATTCGTAACAATAGCTCCAACTCGGGTTAAGTGTCGGATAATCTATGTCATCATCTGCTGAACTAAATCCTAAATTAATATCTCTATAAGTATAACTAATTTATGAATTTTTACTTTGAAGTAAAGTTTTTACTTTGAAGTAAACTATTTATCATAAATAAATACTAATGAAATCCACTCAGCTACAATAAAATTAGATAAAAACCTGTTTCAAGTTGGAAGTAAAATACAATAACAATAGTACAAAAGAAAATTGTACTGTATAATCGAAAAAAAACAGCGTCCAGTTGACTTGGAAATGAGAATCGATGACATTCCCCATATAATTTCAAAAATAAAGTTACAGCGATCTTCATTTCATAGCCATGGCTGACGCCGAGTCTTTCGATCATGTTGTATAATGATGCCTGAAAATTAATGTTGATCATCATCTAAATTACCAATTAACTAATTAATAGAATTATATGATTATTTTTTTATTTACCTAAAGAAGAAAACATGTGACCAATGTGTAATACCAGTCTCGCGAAACATGGACATTTAAAATGGACATTATAAGGAAACTGCAGGTCGCACAACGCTCAATGGAACGAAATATGCTGGGAATAACCATGAAAGACCGTAAAAGAATAGAGTCGATATGACAAAAGACTCAGGTAATAGATGTCAGCAACTGAATCAAAACTCTCAAATGGCAGGACACTTGGCAAGAAGGATGGACAAAAAATGGTGAACCACAAATGTATTGTACCCACGAGTAATTAAGAGACCTAGAGGAGACCAAACCTGAGATAGGACCATGATATTAGTAAATTAGTAGAGATAATTTGAGCCCGCATAGCCAAAAATTACAATGGGCACAATTACAAAAACAATATCCAAATACGTGGGGGAGGTTACACCATTATTGGAATTAGTTGAATAAACAGAAAATGATGATGCTGATGATTAATTAAAAAAAAACGTTTTTCTCTTGTTAAAAAGAATATATTCGAGTCGGTTAAGTTTTAGAGTGGCAGTTGTTGAGAAACTTAATCCTATAGATTAAAAAAATAATCTGTATTATTTTAGTTATTTCATTTTAAGAGTAGGTTTAACGTTGAATCTTGATTTTATAATCTCATAAATAAAATGGATATATGATATCTTAGAGAAAATAAATCACATAAATAATTTAATACAAGGTGATCCAAACTGTACTCGGAAAACTTCGGCAGCATATTTTGCAGGCAAAAATAAATCAAGAAGTTCGTATAAAATGCCTTAAAATACGCATGCGTTTTTTGTTGGTGAGGCAGATATGTTTAACTAGTAAAAAATGGTTTCCGTTTGGATCAATGTAGTAGTTTATTATGTAGCTAGTTTATAAAAATAACTCTCGTTATTTTGTTGATTTTCTTGTAGTAAATACCGGTATATGGTATTTACCGAAATTAATTACCTATATCCCACACTTATTCATTGTTATTAGTCCCTATTTATCCAAATTTCAATATACAAGATATTTGCCCATCACTGTTTACGGGTACTATTTTCTAAGATATTGTATACAAACAACATTCTCTCCAAAAAATCATATATGGGTATTTGGCCACAGCAAGAAAATCTACAAAATAAAAAAGTTATTTTTTGTAAACACTTCTGCGTTAATCCAAACCGAAACTACTTGTCAGAAGTTAGGTTTACAGATAGATATACAAATTTGCCTAACCAACAAAAAAATGCTTAACGTTTCGGAAAGTTTATCTCTTTCCGTCGTCGAAAGCAAAAAAATACAAAGAATAAAGAAAAAACTATTTAAAATACTTAAATTCAACTATTCGAGAACACTTTAGTTTTTTAAAACAGATACGTCTACAGAAACCGTGGACGTTCTGTCAAAATGACATTATATCAAGTTAAACTTCAAAATTAACAATTTCTACCTGATAACAATTACTTAACAAGGTAAGACCAAACAAACCCCAAACTTCCTGTATGATTATTTTTAATTTTTAGGTATGTTATGTTTATTTATGTTATGTCCTTTAAAATCAATGAAGCCATTGCCATATATTACTAACATCTACAGATGCATGAGCAATACATGAATTTTTATTACATTGTGTTAAAAAGCCTCTTTTATTTTTCTTTTAGAGGCTTCACTTCTTTCATTATAATTTTGGCGTTATGAAAATTTATCCTGGGCCCTGTGTCCCATGAATGAAGACAAATCTTAGATTTTTTAAAATCTCCCTTTCTTAAATAATCTTTATGTTCTTTAATTCGCACATTTAACGGTCTAGATTATGTTTCAACAATGTAAAATTTATAGCATTCACATGGTATTTTATATGTTACATTTTTTTTGTTGTTCTGGGGGTATTCATTGGTTTAGTATGTGATAAAATGGATCTAAGTGTATTTTGTGTTTTGAAAAATGTTCGTATGTTATATTATTTTCCTATGCTTCTTGTTTTTTTTTCCGCAACGCCTCGTATGTATGGAATTATAAGTTGTATATATTGTGTATTTTTATCATTGTGTCTTTGATTTAGTCAACGGTTGTATTTCGTTTAATGTTTTGTCAATAAAATATGATGGATAGTCGTTTTTTATTAATGTATTTTTATCTCTGCTTAGTAAAATGTCGTCTGAACATATTATAAAAGTAAATAAAAATCTTATACACATTTAATTTGTAAAGTAAATTGTTTAAATATCAAACAATAGGCTATTTTATATATTTTTTAGTAGGGTATTTTATTCTATTAATAAAAGAAGTGAAACTTACCAATTAATAATACTAGGAAATAAGAGACACCCCGGAAAACTTTATTTAACTTTTTCATAATGCACAAAACAAATAAAAATATATCAATCTCATACTGCGTATGTACATAGTTTGAAACTTAAATTATTAAAGTTATTTGAAATATTTTCTTAGTATTACTTATCTAAATTTATCTATGTTTTTGAAAAGTGATAAGTTGGTTTACTTATCTGATATGTGTGAGTCTATATGGTGTCAATTTTTGTTCTAATCTTGACAGGTTAAATCTCAAATTAATCATTATTTATTGGAAAGTACTAAAAAATCCTGATTTGTGAGTGGACATTGGGTTCGATAGGATATTTAGAACCCTAAATTTATTTTTTTATCACAATCCATCTAAATCCATAATAAAATATTATTATCATATATCCATCCTATGGCTAGTCGCTTGTCTTAATTTTAACTGAGATTGGAGATATACAGGGTGAGTCTTAAATAAGTACAAATATTTTTAGGGGTAGTAGAGTGAAAAAACATCATCAATCTTTCATTAAAAAAAATTAAAATTTGGAATTTTTTTAGTTTTTAGCGAGGTTTTTAGTTGAAAAACATAATTTCTTAATAATATGGCAACATAGATAGTAGTTTAAATTTACAAGAAAGAAAACTCAAGAAAATTTACAAGAAAGAAGATTCAGTGCTTCTCAAAATTTAAGGAAAAAATATTTTTTTTGTTAGTTTTCAAAGTAAAATAACTCTGTTATTATGGACTTATTTGAATATTTACTTATTTAAGACTTATTTACTTATTTATACTTATAAATATTATAAAATAAATAATTATTTTATACTTATTTAAGACTCACCCAGTGGAGACTACATGATTTGCAATATATTTAGTTTAAAATTTTCAATGTTCATAAAAGTCTGGGATTTCCCCAACTGGAAGGGAAATCTAATAAATAAAAGTCATTTTATGTACAAATTTGACTAACCGACAAAAATTTTCCCCGTTTCATGAAGCATATCTCCTCTAGTTGTAGTACGCGAAAAAGCTAACAAAAATTGAAAACCCACTAAGGGCTCAAACACACTGACGACCAGGTCGCACCGGCCAGGCCGTATCTACCTCTAAAACCATTAAATCAAATGAAATAGCGCACACTAAAGTCCTGGCCCTTCGTTGGTTTTTGCGACCAGAAGACTACACGGAAAATTATTATTTTCTGCCACTTGTTGCCGGTTTTCTTCCAAATTAATAATTTTTCAGATGAAATCCCTCAAATTCGAGGCACAATATTTTATTTTCTATAAGATATAGTGTTTTAGTGTAGTTTTTGCACACTTGCAGAAAATCCAAAGAAATAGTATACAGACTGGATGACGGCCAGGTCGTCACGACCTGGTCGTCAGTGAGTTTGAGCCCTAAGGGCTCGATTTCGAACAGAGTTATTTTACCCTTAGGGCTCAAACTCACTGACGACCAGGTCGCAACGACCTGGCCGTCGGCTGGCCGGATGTATTGCGTTTTTAGCTGCGGCCAGATGAACGACCAGTTTCAACAGAGTTGTCAAATCTAACGATTTTTTACGTTTTACCAATTAGAAAATATTGTTTCAGAAATGTTAAAATATCCGAGTTAACTAAAAAGCGAAGTTGCTATTCACAACAAACAAAAAGCATTGTGTACGCGCGACCGACAAAAAGGGAGATATTCTGTTTCTTTTTTCTACTGATATGGCGCCCTTATCGACTTTAGAAGTAAATATATTAGGGCCATCGTAAAAAAAGATCGTCAGACACTGGCTCTAAATATAAGCAAGTAGAAAGTTTAGCTTCCAGTTATTTCAATGTTTACAATATAACGAAGAATCTACAACACTAATTACTTCTATTTTTATGAACGTTTAAGTTACTTTCTTATTTTTTTTTCAAAATAATGTATCTAGTAGAAATATAGTCTAAAGAACCCTGTTTGAAAAACGTTAAATTAAATATATTATTTAAAATACAGTTGGCCTCCTTGTACATGACTACAATACAACTAAAAAAACTAATTTAATAAAAAAAAACTAGTTGTTGTAGAAAAACTAAATATTATTTTTTTTTTATTTTTTAACATCGAAACTCAAAGGTATAATAACAGGTATCATACCAACCATAAATAGAGTAGGTATGTCATAAAAATGTTTTGAGTTTTTACTAGAATCGACTCTTGATAAAAAAAGGCATTAGATTTAAGTTTACCTTTGATCCAGTCGGTATACTATTTCTTTGGATTTTCTGCACGTGTGCAAAAACTACACTAAAACACTATATCGAATAGAAAATAAAATATTGTGCCTTGAATTTGAGGGATTTCATCTGAAAAATTATTAATTTGGAAGAAAACCGGCAACAAGCGGCAGAAAATAATAATATTTCCGTGCAGTCTTCTGGTCGCAACGACCAACGGACAGCCAGGACGTTAGTGTGCCTATTTCATTTGATTTAATGGTTTTAGAGGTAGGTGCGGCCTGGCCGGTGCGACCTGGTCGTCAGTGCGTTTGAGCCATGAAAATACCTATCTAAATATAACAATTCAGGGAACACTTCATTTTTTTAGCAGATACGTCAATGATAAGCCGTTGACTTTCTGATAAAATTACATTGCATGAGTTAATCTTCGAATTAAAGATTACTGTCTCATCACAATGATCTAATTAGGTAAAACCAAAAGGCTGGCATTTTTTGTATACAGGGTGTTTCAAAACAAATGCGAAAAACTTCAGGGGGTGATTCCTTATTCAAAATAAAGGGTAGTTTGCTTCATAAACGTTGGGTCAAAAGTCAACCATTAGGGAGATATTGCGGTACAAAGATGGCAGAAAAATAATGTTTTTATTTTTTTATCTTGAAAACGGATAGAGATAGACTAATAAAATTTTATGGAAGCATTACTGTTATGAAAACACACTTTCTGGTAATTTTTTCACTTTTTTAAAATGAGTGGAAGGGGTTGAAATAAACTACCCCTATCATTCTTCTTAACGAAATTTAAAGAAAAATCTTATCAAACACATGCAAAAAAGTTAATTTGGATAGCTTAGTTTGTTTAGAAACTTTTTTATCTCTTGTATTTTTTTGATAAAACTCACCGATTTGAAATTAAAAAATAAAATGTAAAGCATTACATGTCAGCACAAAAAACATTTTCTGATAAAGAATCTAGTGGGCTGCTGTAATTTTTTTAGGAAAAAATCTAGTCGGCCGCTGTTACTTTTTAGGATGTTCCTAATATTATTTTATTTGACATTACTCTACTGCAATACGTTATTATCTAGATGATTATTATTATCGTTATTATCACTAGATTCTTAATCTAAAAATGTTTTTTGTCCTGACATGTAATACTTTACATTTTATTTTTTAATTTCCAATCGGTGAGTTTTATCAAAAAAACACAAGAGGTAAAAAAGTTTCTAAATAAACTAAACTATCGAAATTAATTTTTTTGCATGTGTTTGATAAGATTTTTCTTTAAATTTCGTTAACAAGAATGATAGGGGTAGTTTATTTCAACCCCTTCCACTCATTTTAAAAAAATAAAAAAATACCTGAAAGTGTGTTTTCATAACAGTAATGCTTCCATAAAATTTCATTAGTCTATCTCTTTTCGTTTTCAAGATAAAAAATAAAAACATTATTTTTCCGCCATCTTTGTACCGCGATATCTCCCTAATGGTTGACTTTTGACCCAACGTTTATAAAGCAAACTACCCTTTATTTTGAACAAGGAATCACCCCCTAAAGTTTTTCGCATTTGTTTTGAAACACCCTGTATATGATTTTTATGTGTTTTTAATTTTTACTTATGTTATAAAAAAAGTAATATTATTAAATAAATAAACAATCAAAGAAGGGTTAGCCTTACATTACTAACTTCTGAAGGTGCCTGAGCCAACACGTTTATATACCGAGTGTGTCTCAAAAGTGGATTTTGAAAAGAGACCAAAATTTCACCTGCATGCCATGTTATATCTTTAATTTTGTTAATGAATTCAATATTATTTTTAACTGAGAAAGAAGGTTCATGATCAGGTAAATTTTCGAACTCCCTTGATAACCATTTTGCCAAACTCGGAGAACCTACAGCCGAAACAATTGGGCGCATAGACTTCCGGTTTATGAATTTTTGGCAAAGCATACAATTTTGGTAATGAGGGATTGGATACTTGCAATTTCCTCTTTAAAGAAAGATCAATAAGGGTGTTACATTCTTTTAGAGTTTTTTTAACGTCTGCTACCATCTTAGACAAAGGATTCTTTTTTCAAATTTATGTAGGGGCCATTATCGATTAAGTTGTTAACCTTATCGTAATAGTCTTTTTTATCCAATATAACAACCTTATTTCCCTTATCAGCTTTTAGGTAGAAACAATCTTTGTTACGCAAACTCTTGACAATATTGTGCTCCTTGTTAGATTTTAATGATTTACTTGAAACGATATTTTTTGATAATTGACTTCTACAAGCCTCTCTTGTAAATACTTTAGAAGCGTCGGGCAAGTACTGAATAGCAGTTTCAACACCAACGACGATTTCCTCCAAAGCGCTACCAGAGTTGGGCAATGCAAACTTTAAACCTTTGTTTAATAAACTGAGCTCTTGTTTATCAAAAGTCTGCGAAGAAAGATTCTCTACTATGTTTATGTCTCTTTGGAAAACATGTTTGTTTTTAGAGCTTTTTAATTTTTTAAACTTTTTATTCAAAATGGACATTTTCTTAACAAATTTTGAATTGATAACCACAAACATATTTCTCTGAAAGAGGCACCAACATTCATACTCTACATTAGTTAGCTTATAAGTTAGTTTTTTGCAAAGTCCATAGGCTTCAATTTCAAGCATACTTCGTTTACTATACAGAAATTTGATTTCTAAATCAAGCCATTTTTGTTTTGCAATTTTCTCTACCTTATCACTAACGTTACTTTTCGGAATATCAACTTTAATAAAACTAGGATAAACTGAATTGGCTTTGCATGATTTAAGAAACCAAATATCTGCTCCTAATAACCTAATCTTAGTACTAAACTTACGATAAAGATCATTTTACATAATTCTAAAAGTTATGAAAACATATGCAGGGTGTGTCACAAAACGTGTTCTATCTCTCG